AAAAGGACGATTGTGACAAAGCCTTTTCATAGGATCTCGGAAAGGGAAAACCGCAGGGATGTGCACGTGTTGAAGATCATGGGAGCCGCGATGAGCATTTGAGTATCAGATCATGGGAGCCGCGATGAGCATTTGAGTATCAGTGGAGGAGGTGTGGAAATAACTGTTGACGATAAGCAGCAAGCCAATGACAGAACAATCAAAAGCATTGCGGTGATGATTTACCATTATGGGTGTGGTGAAAGGAAGTTGAAGCGGTGGCTGGGTATCAATGGAGCAATCAATCGTGGTAAGATTTAGATAGTTTTGTCATCGATGTAAGATCAAACCAGTTGGTGTATGATAAGGGCTTTTCAATGATGATCGCATGGATGAGCATATGCAATGAGACACAAAAGAAAAAGGGGCGACTTAAGGAGTATATGATATGATCGAAGGGAGCTTTTGATCGAGGTCATTGGGATGTAGATACCCTGCGATTAGAGGAAGAAAAGTAGAACTCGGAGCACTTGAGCAGTGGTGGATGATGAGATCGACATGGATACAATAAATACTTTTCAACAGTGAGCATGTAGTCAAGCATATTGGACGGTTCGAAAAAGATCAAAAGTCGGCATAGAGACCATAGGATATGATCGAGGCAAGCTTTTGTAAAAGCCTATGGGTAGACGTAGTATGTGTGAAGGAAAGCACTATTATTGATGGCGTGGTAATTCTTGATTCGAGGGCGAAGTGAAAGGTATAAATAGAGGTGGTGAGAGGGGCAAGTGGAACAGACGGCAACCGAAGCATACTCCGTGGGTGCACCTCTAGGTCAGTGACCTCTGGTGACCCGAAGGCGGATATGTAATAGTTCCTGTCCTGCTCTACGGAAACGCTGAAATCATGACGGTAGGTCATGTTTACAGGTTTCAAAGGGGGGGGAGGGATTTAAGTTTATGTAATATGCATATTGTTCCTATGGTTGAGACCTTTGTTTTGAGTATTTTTTTGTATTTTTAGTGTGAAAATTGTTGATTGTACTGACAAAAAACCTGCAGGATCATCAGATTACAACCTGTAACAGATATTGGAATTTAGCTCATGGATGACAAGGGGATAATTTCAATTCTAAGATCCTTCATATCTTTTGCAATTCTTGGTCAAAACACTCGATAATTAGTTCATTAGAAAGCCATGGACTTAATTCAAATTTTA